AAGAAACAATATTCCCAGTTCATCAGTGAATCACGTAAAGCTACAAACAATAAGCAGGAATGTTAGTGTTAGAGAAGTGTTTATAATACGTATTACCGTAAAATAAAGGTGACATGCAACATGATGGGAGAAAAATAACATATAATTTTTTTATATAACAATATTATATTCATGTTTATCTGATCTTACGTAACAGTATAATAACCAGAACGAAGCTATGTGTAATGAAGAAAAAACTCACAGAGAGGTCGCGTTCACTGTCGTTTTCCTAAATGTGGACCCGAAGACGACAAATATGTGACAGGAGATGGGAGCTGTGCCAGGTAAATATACATGTGTTACGTTCAGTGACACTTATATGCAGTCTCCAAGTATCCTAGCGGGCCTAACTGGCACTAACAGAGGAAGCTGGCTAGAATCCTGTAACGCTGTATTTGAGTGTGATGTATAGTGAGTTAGCGACAAGCCTATAGCCTCTACGAAAGGCGGTATACCTGTGTCGAGCGATCATTTTATTCTATGCCTCCCGGCTGTTAAGTGTTTTATTCACGGCTGGTAAATTCAGGGAACCTATAGACTGAGTGGTTCGCATATACTGTGAAAGTTAACAAGATATACTGAATATTGGACCTAGTACTCGTGATGGATTTATTCGATGCGTATTTCGTGTTTTGCTAATTATTGTCTCGAAGATAAGTCTTTGTAACTTGAACAGTTTGAGATTGTTAACATATAAGTCTTTATAACTTGAACAGTTTGAGATTGTTAACATGGGGAAGTTTAAGAACGGTCTGCTCTTTGGGGTAACGTTGTTTTTCTTACAATGCATGGACGTTTCTGCCAAGAGGTATCGGTTCGGACTACTGATGGTTAACGACTCCAAGAGCAACCGTTTTGACTTGCAACACATTGGGCCTGCCATTGACATTGCCTCCGAGAAATGTAGAGCGAACTACAACGTGGAAGTTGAATTGATCCCAGGATATTATCCTCACCGGTGCTCCGAAGTTCAGGCGATCGGCAAAGCCACCGATATCACCACGGACTATCCGGATATCGTGGCTTTCGTCGGACCGGCGTGCAGTGACGACGTCCAGGTCGTTGGTCGGTATGCTACTTACAAAAATATTCCTATTATCACTGGCTTGGGTGATGTGCTAAAGGAGAGAGACGAGTTCACGACCTTGATCCGCATGTCTTATGACCTGAAAGACAAGGCACGGGCTATTTTAGCCTTTCTTGGAAACTTTGGGTGGCGTTATTTCGGTATGATATACAGGTTCCAGGATATCTACTATGGAACACTTGCCGAAGAACTGATGCGAATGGCCCAAAAACGTGGGTTTGAAATAACGTGCAAATTAACTTACGTAAGAGCCCCAAATAAGACCGTAGTAACAGATATGTATGATATATTGGAAAGAATGAAGCTATGTGCCAGGGGTAAGTAGAGCACGTGTAACACACGTAGTTTTAAGTGTCCGATGAAAATATAGAATTTCTTAGTAAAAAAATAATTATCACATGAGTGTAACGATTTTGAAAGTCTCGTGTGAACGTAATCATAAATCAAAAGTAATTTTTATGTTTTCTAAATTTTGGAAGTTCTTCTCTTCACGCTTTCATTTAGATTTAATGAAAAGCATTTGGTTGCATTTTAAAAGTACCTTCCTGTAAATTTCCACTGTGATATAGAACCTCCTAGAAAACGTTTGGTTCTGTCTTAGATGTAAGTTGAAGCTTCACGATCTGTAATTACGTAAAGAGTATTTTCTAGCGAGCTTTACGTGATTTACTGAAGAACTGGGAATATTGTTTCTTTTTAACGTTCATATACAAACAATTATGTAT